ATAATTTACTTATAAGTAAATTATCACTTATGAGTAAAAAATTTCATACAAAAAATTATAAATTAAGAATTTCACTAAGGGGCATATATTTAATTTTATTCTTTTAAAAACTTTCAGCATTGTGCATAATAAACTCTTAAATATGAGCTGATTGGTTTTTAAAATCGTTACTAAATCACTCAAATTATTGATCCGTTTATAAATGCTCAAAACTAATACTAAAGAGAACTCCCAAGTATGCCCTTATTGGTCGTCGAAATATGCATGTTAGGTACCTACTCTAGTTTGACGCAATTTGTTGACTTTACCGTCCCCTTGTGGGGATTTCACGCAGTTTTAGAGTAGTTCTTACGCTTTTTGAAAAAATTCTCCCGTTTGTGTCTCGTAAAAAGAAGTGGTAGGTTGATGGATAAAATTACCTTGATTATATAACATAATAAATTATCTTATTATTTTATGGTAGTTGACATGTAATTTGAATTATCATAGGATTTTATATGCATGATTAATTCAGTTAGGACTTAATCGAAATAATTTTGCTTGCATAATAATGGATTTTTTGGGAAAGTTTTGGAGAAGTTTGAACTTTGAGAAATGGAGAAATCAATTTGTAAAGAAAAAAATTCACAGAAATGCAACTGAATAGAGACAAACGGGGGTCCAGCCGTGTATTTAAAAAGAAAAAAAAAATGTGCGGGCCCCACCCATGTGTGAGTATTTTGTTGCAATTATGTGGAATTTTTTTCTGTATGTGCAGCACTTCTCGAAATGGAGAAATACACCTAAAAAACTGGAAAAGTTCTTAGAATTAATTAATTCTATGCTTCTAAACTACTGATTCGAATTCAACATATTTATTTAACGCTAATTGCACAAAACAGACATTGAACTAGGGGTTTTAGATGGGTGGAGCCAAGCGACTCAGTTCGACTCGACCGGTAGAGCAAGGTAACTCGTGCTCGCATATGGGGCGAGTCAAAGCGACACGCGAACTACCCACGACTCTATTTTTTTATTAAAATTTAAAAAATTTATTTTTCATCTCCTAAGTATAATGAAGATGTATTTTTTTTTTAAAACGTTGCCAAGTGCGAGTACTTTCAAGCATTCGTGCCTTAATGGTAAATTATTTTTAGCACATTTATATTCTATTGTGTTATTCATATATGTATTTATTCCAGACGCAAACGTGAAATGTAACTTTAAATGGAGCATCCATTTCACTAAGGGTCCGTTTGATAGGCTAAGGTGGAAAATCATTCCAATTCCGTTATAGACCAAGCAAGCTCGACCTCATTCAAACAAAAAAAGCAAGGTCCTAGTCAAGCCTAAATAAGTTTTAGCCTGGTTCGAAAATAAATTAGTCGAAGATCGAGTTAAGTAGGATAGCATTATTGACCAATTAAGCTTAATTCCCATCTAAGTGCCAAGTCGGAGCATTTGAGCACAATGTTGTCTGAGCATCGAGTCGAGCATAAGTTAGTTAGATCCGTTTGAGCACAAATCTTGACCTCATCATACTGACTGTGAGGGTCGAGTTGAACCCAAATGCATCACAATCTTGACTGGTATAATTTATTCTAAAGGTCGATCAACCAATTAAGAATAAATAATCATAAGGATTGAGTCAAACACGAGCAAGTTTCGCGCTTCTTCGAGCGTAATTAGTCCCAGGGTCGAGTTGAGCCCAAGTGAATTTTAACCTAATTTGAAGGGTTTCGAGCATCCAAAGTGATCTTTACCTTGTTTAAGAGTAAATAACCTATTTTGAGGCATAATTCCTTTAAACATGGTCAGCCAACTGTGTATTGACCTCATTCGAGCACAAAGCCTTTAAGTTTAAGCAATCTCGAGGGAATCTTGTTTAATATGATTTTTTCTCAAGGACCAAGTCAAGTTCAAGGGACCTCATTCAAGATATTGTATGTCGAGTTTTGCTCAAGCTTGAATGTTGTTGAAAGCACATTGAGGAAATTACATTCATATAAGGTCTCATTTAGGCTTCATTCAACCTTTAATGGAAACTAGGACTTTGCTACTGGTACGTCCAGCATTACATAATCTATATGTGCCATTATGTCATTGGTTGGAGGAAATTATTTTTTTTTCCTCCAATCAATAACAGGATGCCACATATATTATGTAATCATTGATGTAACTCTTAATATACAAGTAGAATAATCCTGGAAACTATGCTCGAAAGATTTTGAAACTTGCTTAGCTATTCAGCACTTATGATTAACTTAAATGACCTAGTTGAGCCTAAATAAGTTTTAGCCTCGTGCCTAAGTAATTTATTCGAAAGCTAAGTCAATTCAGAATGAGTATTGACCTCTTTCGAGCATAATTCCCTTTAAGTGCAAAGTTGACCTTAGTTGAGCACAATTCCATCTAAGGATTGAGTCGAGCCTAAGTTTGTTAGGATTCAATTGAGCACAAATATTCTTAAAAGGAAAAGTCAAGTCCGAGTCTTGAATTTATCATAGCTAATCGTGAAGGGTAAGTTGAACCCAATCAAGACAATAAACGTTAGGATTAAGTCGAGCCTGAGCAAGCCTTGTCCTTCTTCGAGTAAAGTAAAGAGGGTCGAGTCGAGCCTATCTCCGTCTTCACCTCGTTGAGCATAAGCCTTTGTA